ACAATAGGATTGCAGGGCAGTTCGGCGACGTGGTGGGGGGGGGTCATTTTGCACTTTTGCTACTTCTCATCGACGTGTCGACCCATCTAGAGAGCGATTTCGTGAGCTTACAAGAGTTGACATGTTTTACCATGATGGCTCGACGAGCTTGCTCCAGCTTCACAAGAGTTCACAGGTTTCACCAGAGTGAGACTTGTAAACCAGAACTAGTGAAGCAACGAAAGTGCAAAATGCCCCCCCCCCCGTCGCCGAACTGCGCCGGATTGCAAACATTTGTCACCAAGGGGACTCAAACCACCAAACTATTGCTCACCCCTTTTTAACGTTCTTATGAAAGAAGAAAATGCACCTTACCTTTCTCTGTGGTCCATTTATGTTCTCTTATGTATACTGTGGTTCGTTGTGGACGGTGGGCGTGTCAGGCAGTGTGAGTGTGCACGCTGTCAGAGCCGTTCTCTGCCTTCTTGTTGAAGCGCGCATGCGACAAAAAGTGGTAGAAAACGAGTAATACGAACGATATGATACAGTCATATCATTTGCTCGCTTTAACAACTGGTGGAGAACGGGTTTGGCACCGCGCCAAACTCATCCCGCCTGACACGCCCAACCGTCCGCAGCGAACTACACTATAGTTGATCGTTTTCAGGAAGCGTTTCATGCAACTTTTCTCATCGCGTTGTGGAAATTGTTTGCAACGATTCTGGCAAACTCCAATCTCAGTATGACCCCTTTTGCTACATACTTGCCTTCCCCTTCAGCAGAATTGTTCCAGAATTTCCGTACAACTTTTTCGTTGGAGCAGAGTAAGAGTTACATAGCGCGCGAAACAAAAAATTAACAATGAAAAATGCTGTCGAAATATGACTGAAATGAAACGAAGAGGCTGAAATACCACCCTCAGTGGCCATATACGACCACTCTGTGAATTCCCGATTGACAACGATGACCTGAAAGGCTTCCGACCCTATTTTCGTGGCCCGAAAGACCCTCTTGTTAGCTTTATGCAACCCCAAAGAACACTCAAATTGTGTTCTGCTCAACAAAGCCTTCTGCTAGAAGTGCTCCTATTCACCGAGCGTGTTTGATTTCGGCTTAAATGTCACAGGTCGGGACCAGCAGCAACGGTACCCGATACCCCAAGTGTTCTCTTTTCATCACGGGACTATCGGCTCGGTTTGATCAACAGCTCTAGTTCCCGTCATAAAAATCTCGATAATTAAAAACTTTCCATTGTGATTCTCCAGCTTCAACAGTGTTGGAAAATTGCCCCGATATAGGTGCTTTTATGTCATCGTGCCAAAATATGAAACCGCCGCTTCTTAACCCAATTCACACCATCTCTTAGTTACTATAATCTATGTGTGTGATCGCTCATCGACATGATCCTTCTGACCAGCCCACGTTTCCCGCCTTTGTCTCTTGCCGGGTTCCAGTTCCGGTGCCCCGTAGTCTTCCTAGTCTTCCTAGCCGTTTTTTAACGATTTTGTCTATGGCAGAA